CATTCTTGACAAGCGCCAATAGCAATCCCAGTTTAGATTCTCTTAAAATTTCTGATTTCCTTAAATCACGCAAAGCCAAAATTCGTCCGAGTTGACCAGGGAATCTGAGTCCGCGTGGTGCCGAAAATTGTTTTGGAGCTCTAGAGCCTCGCTTGTTCTAATCTAGCACACACTCACTTGCCTGTAGTGGCTGGGCCTCCCATCTGGATACCTCACACGTCATCTCGAACGCGTCACGCTTGAGCAGCATCTCATGCTCGAGCTCCTCGCAAGCCAAATCTCCCACACCCCGGATGATCTTGAAGTGGAGCAACAAGAACTTGCCATCGGACAGCTCCACGATTACGTTATGCTGTCCGATGGCAAGTTCTTGTTGCGTCGGTATGTGGAAGTTCCTCTCCTCGGAGGAGCGCTGCACCGTCACGAGCGAGGAGTGGATCACGTTGATGCCGTAGTTTGGTTGGGATGCGGGTTTATGGAGACGCGGAGTTGCAGTGGAAAGAGCCACTCCACCATTGCCGAGTAGGCGCGATATGAGGAAGCCGACTTGGCTGCACAGCTTCTTCTTGGCCGACTTGGATGGGAGACTCTTGCAACTCTTGTGCTCGTAGAGATCCTCAAGCATGAACCTCGAGAAGCCGCGGTACAAATTGCGCGTCTCCGGGTCCTCCTTGATGTCCCTGTGCACGGCCGACTCGTCGCTTCCAAACAAGCGGATGAGAGCTCGTCTCGCGGTCTCGGCGTTCGAGGTGGGGTCAGTGGCGATGGGATGCTCCAGCTCGATGCCGGAAACGAGCTCCGCTATGCTCTCGTCGCTGTGGTGGTCCAGCAAGAATTCGTCTAGGCGGTAGAAGCTGACCAAGCCGGGATACAAATCGTGCGCCATCTCGCGAAGCATCTCTCCGAATGTATCCACGGTAGCATCGTCAGAGCCAACTGACACAGAGCTTTACTCATGAAAACAAGGAGCTCCTTGCTATCGTGGATTCCTTTGGAGAGTGGCATCATTTTTTGGAGGGGGCGAGCCATTAAGTGCATGTAGGAATTACTCGTGGTGTCTGGATGCTTCGGAGTTGATCGACAACACCAGCACCGTTCGAATGTGGTCGAAGCTCAGCTTGGACAACCAGAACAACCAGAAGTAGTACGATGAGCAGCATCAAACCAAAGAACACCAAAGGCACCGAGGCTGGAAGCCTGCTCGGTATGCTCCCCTCGATGACTGTGACGACAATGAGATAAGGCAAAGGTGGGGTAGAGGAACGAGCTGAGAATGTACTTGTCGCTGGACTTCTGGACGACAGGCCCGGGCCCGAGGAAGAGGCTAAACAGTAGATACAGGAACGTTGGTAGAAGCCCAAGGAGGAGTAGAAAGAAGCTGACGTGGAACTGGAAGAAAGTCTGGAACACAACCGCGAATGGCCAGGAAAGCCATGCTGGTACCGAGATCCTTGAAGAAGCACTCCTGCTTGTAACACAGGGAGATTTTGAGCTCCTAGCTGAAGCTGGTGAGCGTGCCTCCGGTGCATGCTATCAGGTAGAAGCCCGACACTGCGATGACCCAGCGATTGCTGGCGATGGAGAAGAGCTCCCTCGCCATTGCTAGAGCCATTGCCAACTTCGCAGGTAATAATCGTTTCTTATGCCTTTGTCTTGTTCGTATTGCAGTCCATATGACGCCCTGACTGCAGCCGTCGCTTGCGTGGACGATCTTTTCGTTTCTCAAAGCACACTAGAAAACGTGACAATTGCGAAGGTTCGTGGATTTTTCTGGTGGGTCAACTAAGTTGAGCTTTGACGCTTGATGTGGATCCGAGGCAGGCCGCATGTGGACGCTGGTCAGACCACGGATACGGAAAAGTCCACAAAATGGTCTTCAGCGGGGGCGGATCCGGAATCGGCGCAATGGTAACGTTCTTAGCATCTTCGTGCTGCCCACTTGAAAATCTTATTTTTTTTGCAACTATATAAGCAGGGCACTGGGAGGACACTGATATCCGCATCTCAAAGCCTAGCATCCAAGCATACATTTCGATTTCCATCTTTCAAGCTCTTGCTTACACAGTCCCATCCATGGCTGGGATCAAGGCATTTGTTGACAGCTGCAACGGGACGCTAGACAGCGTTCCAGACAGATACATGATGCCAAATGAAGCTGCCGATGTCTCCCGGTACGCGGTGCTGCCGATAGTCGATGTGGCGAGCGAGAGCTTCGAGAGGGATCTCGTTGACGCTTGCTCAAAGTATGGAATGTTCTACGTAAGTTTTCAAGAAGTGACTTTTTTCCTGTAGTACATGTTTGCTAAGTGGATGTATTTCTTGTTCAGCTCAAGAACCACGGCATTCACACCGAGGATGTGATGAGGTGCGCTCTCGATTTCTTCAACTCGCCCAGCGAGGACAAGATGCGGTACTACACCGAGGAGATCTTCACACCCGTCCGCTACTGCACCAGCATGATGCCTTCGAAGGAAGAGAAGCTCGAGTGGCACGACCACCTCCAGATGTGGCTCAAGGAAGAGTCCCTCGGAGCGCACCCCTGGCCCGCGTTCCCAGCCAGCTACAAGTCAGTATCTCGCTCCTTGATTATGGTATTGCTCTAGATTGCTGACGCTCTATATGCAACAGGGACGTTGGATCCGAGTATGCCAGAAACATCTTCAAGCTCGGGAAGAGGATGCTGTTGGTCATGTCCGAGGGACTTGGCCTCCGCTCAAACCGTCTTCTGGAAGCATTCGAAGACATGGTTCTCCTGACGAGAGCCAACTTCTATCCGGCTTGCCCGAACCCGAGGCAGGCCTTGGGCATGGAAGGCCACACCGACAGCGGCGGCCTCACGTTTGTGCTCCAGGATGGAGTCGGGGGATTGCAGCTCAAGCAAGGCGAGGATTGGTACAATGTGAGGCCACTCGAGGGAATGCTGGTGGTTAACATGGGCGATCAGCTAGAGGTACGAGCAGTCGAAAACGTTTTGAGAAACTGTGGACTGATCTTTGTCTTGGTTGATTGTCTTGTATCAGAAGCTGAGCAATGGGAGATACAAGAGCATATTGCACAGGGTGATGGTGAACTCGAAGAGCTCGAGGCTGTCCGTTGGGGCGTTCCTGGGGCCATCACTAGATGCGGAGATAAGCCCGATTCCAGAGCTGGTGAGCCAGGAGAGTCCGGCAAAGTACCGCAGCAGGACTTACAGGGACTACATGCACGAGGTGTACACGGAGCACTTCTCCGGGAAGAATGTCTATGTGGCTTGAGCCTTAGATAGTCATGGGCACCAATTTTTTCTCATCTCACGATTTTTTTGCTCACAAGGATCGTAATGTGATAAGCATGTATGGATACATACGAAATTTGCTCCCTTGACCGACTGTGTGCTGCCTAGAAGGTCGTAAAAGCTTGACAATCAGACTATGTGCTGCCTAGAAGGTCGTAAAAGATTAACAATCCGACTGTTTGCTGCCTAGAAGGTCATAAAGTTTAACAATCTGGGAAGGAATAAGAGAAATTTTCGTTAACAGGTGTCTTATTATATAAATAGTTTATAGCTGAATTTTTGTAACGTGGTTCTAAGCGCCATATGACTGATGTTTTATGGATTGCAAGTACTATCCAAACACACATAAAGCAGCGCTTTTCCATCAGGTGTCCACTCTTTTTATTTTCATTTGCTTTAGATTTTTAGCTGTGTCACGTCCAGTGAAAACCACACCGACAATCAACTTGAACTTCGATCGAAAATTAAGAAAATTTTCCCTGTAGTTTTCAGCAAGAGCGTGGCGGGACAGGGACCTCAGAGTGGCATGGGGAGATGGAGAAACGTGAGCGTGGGAATGGACGGAGAGAGAAGACTTCCACAACAAACTTGCAAACTTGTTTGCACAGTCTCTCATGCTTTTTGTTGGGCACTGCCAGACTGCCAAAACAGAATATAAAATAGAATAGACTATCAAAAGGAAACTTGAAATATACCACGAACCCAGTACATACAAGAGGTAAGGTGTGAGTATGTAGCTGGGAGCACTATGTGCTTAATGCCCTCCCTGCAAGCAAATGAAACAACGCCCCTGTAATAGCAAAAGCACAATGTATCAAGTTTGTTACACACTTTGGCATACCTGTAACTTTATCAATGAGGACAAATAAAATTTATAATATTAGAAAATGTTATTCTGATTAATCTATGTTGTGTCAATGATATCTAAGTTATGACTTCACCTAGTTATTGCAATATTTCCTAATGGTTTTTAATATTTTTGAAAGATTTAATTATGTATAGAAATTGTTGTAAGGGTTAATTGTTATATTATACCTTTATACCAGTTAAGATTTGATTCATTCTAAATTTGATCAAAATGCATATAAGAAAAAGAGAATTCCACCAATCTATTGCAGAAACAAGCCACATATATAATTTAATGTTGTTAACTAAAGTTTGTAATATTTTACTCATATTGTGATAATAATAATTAAAAATTATTTGCTACAAGAACTTGTTTTAAATTTCATCACGTAACTTTTTGGTTTGCTTAAGTATGGGGAGTAAGATGGTAGTTAGAACATGTTTGGATATTCTGGGATATTCTACAATCTAATGGTTATTATTCATTTAGATTAATCTTTTTTTTCTAATTTATAAACATGCTTATAATTTATAAACTTTCCTAAACACTTGTTAATATATTCTAGTTTATTCTTACACAATAAGATTATCCTTATATTTATAAATTATAAATTTCCATTTGATCAATTGGATTAATAAATAGGTGTAACGCATTGCCACGTGGAAGGCACAGCAAATTATTTACATTGTATGAATTTTATTGTTGTCAATGTTTTAACTGTCGTATTTTTACTGATGAACACTCCCTTTAAATTGAATGTATAACTCATCTTCAAAAACAGATTAAAAGAGAAAGAAAACTTGCAATTGCACGGCAACACAAATTTATGCATATACTTCACATCTAGACATGAGCATTTTGACCCTAAATAATTACACATTAAATGTAAATGTAGAAAGACTGGGAGAATCCAATCTGGGGTTGTCTTGGACTCAGGGATATCACCGCCCAAAGTTGAAGATCAAAGGAATCACTCCGGACTTGGACAGAGGTGTGAGGCACTTGAAGTCGATCGTCTTGGATCACGGCCTGGAGTCAGGCAAGCAAAAGTATGGCCGCTTGCTTGATCTTCATGCTCAGAGGCTAGGCATTTGCAGCATCGTCTCTTGGAACGAGGCGAACGTCTTGTAAGGAAAACGTTTGCAACAATGCTATGCTTTATGTAAACCTTTTGCTCGGCATCAGCTTACAAGTTTGGCAGCCATTTTTCGAGAAAAAAGAGCTTGCTTTCAGAACGTAAGGAACATCGCACATAGGGTTGGTATGTGGCATTAATGCCGATAAGATCTCTGGATAAATATGGGGGAACGTGCTTTCATTAAAATTCACCCTTCTTACTCGTTTCGATGGACCTCTTACTCGCTTCGTGCGGTCCCCGATCTTGTGGAAGGGCCGATCACCGATCTTGTGGAAATCTTCTGGGGCTTCTTTCCATCCACCTGGTTCTCCCAAACCTTCCCTCGCGTCGGAAAGTCGCTCGCTTTCGCCATTTGTTGTATGATAACAGACAGGTCCTGGAGCGGGAAAGCTCTGCGATGGAAACGTTAACAAGTAACAATACAAGGCCTTCGTCGAGCACTTGGTTTGTTCTATAGATCAAGGCACTCTCCTCTCCAAGTTTCACGAGCTCGACATCGCTGCAAAGCTTCGCCCACTCATGCCAAAGCTCGTCAAAGCTTTCCTACGAGAAATAGAAAGTGAAAGACTGCTTCTCAGCCACCTTTCGACTGAAATATGCTCGCTTTCAAAACATAAGGAGCGTCACTCCCTGGATCCCCGAGAATGGCCTTCTCGGCAATCTGGTTTCCCGCTTCCACGTCGCTCAAGCACGGACGAAGCTCGTCAAAAATCCACTCTCTGGAACGAATGGCATGCTTGCAATGAGGTCCCGAGCATCTCTTAAATGCCCAGCTCGACTGAGAAGATCAACCAAGCAACCGTATTGTTCTTTCGTAGCCACCAAGCAATGGTCGCGCAGCATCGAAGCGAAGTAAAGCTTGGCGACTTTAAGATCGCCACAGTGGCTGCAGGCAAGAAGTATTCCAGAGAAGGAAACCTCGTCAGGGCGAGAACCATCCATCGCCATCTCGTTGTAAATCTCGAAAGTTTGCTCAAAGTTCCCGGCTTGGGCATTCAGTGTAAGCATTGCATTCCACGCAGTAGAGTCTTTCTTCTCCGGCATCTGCTGGAACAGTACTAGAGAACTTGCGAGGCATCCCTTCTGTCCATACGCCACCACCATTTGCGTCCAGGAAACCATGTCTTTCTCTGGCATAGCCACGAACAAGGCAGTGAGTTCCAGCAGATTTCTCCTCTCTTGGCCCTGGTTATACGCAGCAAGCATGGCATTCCACGAAACAGCATCGTGGTATGGCATGCCATGATCGAACAGGCACTTGGCTTGCTCGAGTTTCCTGTGCTGGACGAAGCCCACCAGCATTGTCGTACACGAGATCAAGCTCCTGCACGGCATTGCTCGGAAGAGAATGGTGGCGTTTTCCAAGTTCCCGCTATCGCCTTCTTGGGAGAATGCCATGAGCATTGCATTCCAGGCCACGAGGTTCCACTCGGGCATGGAATCAAAGACGCAATTGGCTTCGTGGAGCTTTCTCTTCTGAGCAAGATCGACGAGCACCAAGTTCCACGACACAATGTTCTTCACCGGCATTCGCGAGAAGAAGTTATCCTTCAAGGTGGAATCCTCTCCCTGGTGCTGAAGGTACAAGCCCAGCATGACAGTCCAGGCGACCACTCCTCTCTCCGGGAGCATCTCCTCAAACATGATCTCCGCTTTGGTGATCTCTCCAGCTTGAACATACACCGAAAGCATCGCGTTCCACGAGACCAAGTTCCGAAATGGCATCCCCTTGAAGCACTCCTCGGCAGATTTAACGTCTCCAACGCGGGAGAAACCGCAAAGTAGTGTGGTCCATGAAACCATATCGCGATCCGGCATCGCATCAAAGAACTGCTTTGCACTTTCAATATGCCTTGTTTGGGCAAATGCTGCAAGAACTGCATTCCACGACAGTGTGTTTCTTTCGGGCATTGCGTGAAAAGCTTCCAGGACATGATTTATAAGACTTGCGCTTTCAAACGCTGACAATAGTGTGTTCCAGGTGACAATGTTACGTTCTGGAAATGATCGGAAGAGCTCCAAAGCTCCTACCAAATGCCCAGACTTGGCAAATGCGGAAAGCATCGCGTTCCACGAAACTAGATCCCGTTGTGGCATCGCATGGAAGAGCTTGGTGGCGCGATCGAGATCGCCGCTTCGCGAGAATCCAGTGAGCAGGCAAGTCCATGAGATCTCATTTCTATCGGGCATGTCGTCGAAGAGAAGTGTGGCGCTGTGGAGATCTCCGGCGTGGACGTAGACACCCAGCATCGTGTTCCAGGCGCCAATGTCTTTGACAGCCATCGAATCGAAAACGCTCCTCGCGGACTCCACGCTGCTGCAATTCGCAAACATCTGGACGAGGAGATTCGAGATGGAGTAGTGGGCAGATCCATCGCTGCTGGCGCGCGCCTGCGCGTAGATCTCCCGCGCCTCGGCGAAGCTCCGGCACGATCTGATGCGCCGCGCGAGGCCCTGGAGATCCATCTCCTGTGTAGCGCATTTTCTTTCACGCGGGAATTTAGGGTTCTTCCATTCGCTAGTGAGGGAATGCTACTAGGCATAGCGCTCGCCAAGAGTAAGATCAAGCTCTTGGATCGCGCTGCTCTTGCTGCCTCCTCGATCAGGCGATTCGGCGCCAATCGCTGGGACAGGGAAGGGGATTACGAGTGCGACGATGTCGACATTGGCAGATTTGTGGAGCTCTTCCCGAGCAAGAAGATCAGGGACGCGGCGCCGCCCAAGACACTGCGGGCCAGCCGCGAATCCGCCACGGTCATCCAGCTGCTGAGGAGCGCCAAGAAATCCCCGGCCAAGCTCGATGCGTACCTGGGCAGCCACGCTTCGCGGCTCCTTTGCAAGGATCTCCAGTACGTCTTGAATGTGTTCCTCAAGAACCAGGAGAACGACATAGACCTGGCTTTCAAGGTACGTGGTAGCATTCTCGTCCTCGTTTGTTCGTTCTACGCTCGTGTTCGTGGAGATCCATGCTTTCTACGCGTAAGCTTTGCTTTGTCGTCGGTTTCTCTCCATGCTGTCCGCGATTTTTTGCGGAGTTTCCTTGTCTCGTTGTTTGTTCTTCCTAGTGTTGTTGGAAGATCTATCACGTTTAGATCCACTTGTCTGTTTGGAAGTCTGGCGATTGGAAGTTTCATGGATCTTAAGGTTGTATTTTCTCTCCATGCTGCCTTGCGTCTTTGTGCGTGTTCTTGAACTTGCCAAGGTTTTGTTATCTCGTCCCGAGTATGGTTTGTTCTTTCTAGGTTTGAAGATCCATGATTTCTATGATTGGAATGTCCATCTTCTTGTTCTCGCGAGTTCTGGTTCTTGCCTTCGTTTACTCGTGGTTTTCTCTCCATTGCATGTTCTTGATCTTGCCAGGGTTTTGTTATCTCGTCCCCAATGTTGTTTGTTCTTTCTACGTTTGTGTTGTTGTTATCTATCATGTTTTCTTACGTGTGTGTTTGGAAATCACGTCTCCTCCTTGTCTCCTCGCAAGGTTTCGTCTCCTGGAAGTCCATCTGCTTGTTCTCGCGAACGGCATTTCATGTCCTTGGATCTAAGTATCTGTTTTGCAGATTTTCGAGCTGATTCGAAAGGAGAGCTGGTACAAGCCGAGCGAATCAACCTACATGCGGCTTGTCAGCTTCTACTGCCGCGCCGACGAGAGGAAGAAACCAATGAGACCAATCCTGGAGCTTCTCAACACGGCGCAGGGCGAGGGCGTCGCCCTGTCGGAGGCCATGCTCACGGAGCCCATGCGCTGCTGCATCCTCCAGGCAGACTTCGATACGTGCCTCCAGTTTTACAGGCTCATGCGCTCGTCGGGGTGCCAAGTTCATCGCGGCCTCTACACCTACCTGGCCAAGAGCTTTAGCAGGGCCGGGCTCAAGGAGAAGTCCTTCCAGATCTTTGCGGATGCTCCGGCGGAACAAGCTCCCTCCAGATTGGAGAAGAGGGAGAGAGTCTTTTTTGTCGAAGATTAGCGATAGAACTTTGGTAGGAATCGAGAGAAACTATGTCCCAAACCGATGGACCTCGGCAGAGAATCTGATGTAAATTACTATGGTCCCATAATCTATGAAGTTAGCTGAGTCGATAAAATCATGCAAAGACTCCAACCAAGCCAGGCAAATCCACAAGCTTGTGGAGGAGCATAGAGAGCACATATCTCAGGACACTTCCCTCTACTTGAGCAAGCTTCTCATACGAATGTACGTGCGCTGCTCCTGCACAGCTCCTGCCAAGAACATCTTCGACCTCATGGAGCACAGAGACGTTTTCTGCTGGAATCTGATGCTCACAGCATTTGCCCAGGATGGCTGCCTCTGCGAGGCGCAGAAACTGTTTGATGCCATGGGGTTCAGGACCACCGTTTCATGGACAATCATGCTGGCGGCTTATTCACAGCAGGGAAAAATAGCTCAGGCCGAGATCTTATTTTCCTCTATGCCCGAAAGAGATGATGTTGCGTGGAATGCGATGTTGGCGGCATATACCATTCACGGGCATGTTGTTGCCGCAGCTCGATGCTTCGAATCAAACCCAAGACCGAACTTAACATCGTGGAACTGCATGCTGGATGGGTTTTCGCGTGCTGGCAAGCTGAAAAATCTAGTGGAGACTTTCAAGAAGATGCCACTGTGGGATATGATCTCATGGAACACTCTGCTATCTGCATATGCCCAGTTAGGGTATATGGAAAAACTAAACAATGTCTTCCGTGCAATGCCTTGGCACAACCTTGTCTCGCTCACTTCCATGCTAACTGCGTACTCAAACCACACTTGCTACTTCGGAAGAGCTCGGATATTGTATAGATCGCTGCCTGCGTACACTCTGGTGACTTTCACAGCCATGATAACAGCATACACACAAAATCAAAGTATCAGCGAAGCGAAGCTCTTGTTTGACGACATGCCGGAATGGGATCTTGTCTCCTGGAACTCCATGCTCGCGGCCTATGCCCGGAACGGACATATCGAGCAAGCCATTTGCTTCTTTGAAAGCATGCCTGTGGTGGACATCTTCTCCTGGAACTCCATTCTCTGGGCCTACTCAGTTGGAGGCCATGTCGACCAGGTGGAGATTTTGTCACAGGCGATGCCGGAGATGGACCTTGTGTCGCTAAACTCAGTCCTGTCCGTCAATGGAAGCTTGGGCGAGATCGAGGCGTTCTTCTCTTGTATGCCGTCTCGTGACTTGGTGTCGTGGAATTCCATGCTCGCTGCATACGCACAGAACGGACGCGTCCGGCAAGCTCAGGAGTTGTTTCAAGCCATGCCTGATCGTGATCTCACTTCCTGGAGGACAGCCTTGTCCAACCACGCCCGCAACGTCGATGGCTTCCAGAAAGAAGTGTTTGGAGACCTGAATGTCCAAGGTGAGAATCCGGACGAGATGTGCTTTACGAGCTTACTGTTTGGATGCAGCCACAGGGGTGATGCTACCCAAGCGTGTAAGCTGTTCGCTTCCATGCTGGTCGATTATGGGCTGGAGCCAACCAAGTTGCAATTTAGCTGCATCATCGACCTTCTAGCTCGTGCGGGCCACCTGAGAGATGCCAATGATCTCGTCGTCAACATGCCTTTCATGCCTATTGCTGAAGACGTACAGAGCTTGCTGGCGTTCTGCTTTCCAAAGCCAGCGTAAGCAAAGCCTGTAAGGTTTGTGTGTTGATAAACAAAGTTGTTTCTAAGTGGAAGTCCATCCTGGAAGAGCTTGCTGAACAGGAAAACAAAGGAAAAGAATGAGAAAAGTTTGAATCAACACAGTTAGCGTACCGCGTGAGAGAGAAGCGCTTGGCCAACCTCGATGGATTTTCCTCACTCTTCTTCCAGCAAAGTCCGCAATCCCTGTGTGTTTCGTAGCTCCAGATAGTGCTCGTAAACCTTCTGCGCCTCGTCTAGCAGCCCAGCCTCCTCGAACTTCCTGGTGAGGTACATGTAGAAGCGGACGTCCTTCCGGCACGTCGAGGCATGCATCCGGTTGTAGAGCCTCATGCACGCATCGAAGTCGTTGCTGCTCACGCACGCTTGGATGGGAGTCTGGAACGAGAAAACATTTGGAATGAGCCCCTCCTCCTCCGATTCATCCAGCAGCTGGAAAATCCTCTCCATCGCCTTGGAATCCAATCTCTCGCTGTAGGCAGTGATGAGATGCAAGTAGAGCGATGCCTGTGGCTTGTACCAGCTTTCCTTCCGGACCAAGCCAAAAATCTGCCAAGTTCCAATGGACAAACACGACATTTTGATAAGGAATCCCAGCTCTCTTACCAATTCCGCAAGATCCATCTCCTTGGCCCTGACGAAGACCCAGAAGAGCGACATGAGCTCCTTCGTCAGCAGCCTAGAAACGGAGGTCCGCAGCACGGATTTGAGCCGGTCAGGATCGCCTTTGGCCTTCTTCATCATGGTCGCCACACTGACCGTCTCCAAGCTCATGGACGGGATCCGGCGCGTCTCCACCTCCTGCGGCATCAGCAGCCTGCGCTTGATGGAATCGAAAGACCGCTCCAGCTGCGGCAGATCGTGAAGCGCAGCCCTAGCGCCGCTGCTTAGCGCCCGCGCTTGCCAGAGAATGCGCATCGCCTGGGCAAACAAGGAGAGGAGCCCTAGGGTTTACCCTAATCCTCTTTTCCCGCAAATTTTTAAAATTTTAAATTTTAAACTACTCTGTTTTAGGTCTTCACAGGGTGGAAGCTTGCCGATTTGATGTGATCGAGCTTCCCTTCCGCCGAATACTTCCACGAGATCCTCCTCACTTCATCCGCGCTCACTACCCAATTCACCAGGCACGCGAATTCTTGGCCAGGATTCACCTTTCTTGGCACGCAAGCCGTGAATCCATAGGGCATATGGACCACGGAGGCGTGTTCTTCGTCGCAAGCGCTCTTGAATCCTCCCCAGGCTACTCCTCCTCTTGTCTCCAGTGTCAGATCGCAGGGAAACAACGTCATCTCCTGGCCTACGAATTCCCCGCGCGGCTCCTCCCGGCTCGGCTCCAGAGGAACGGTGGCGAGTTCGTGCTTCCAGACGCTCCCGTGCCATGAATCTCCCGGGCGCTCGCCCGAATCTCTGGACTCCTCGAGAATCTGAGATGCTGAGACCGATCCATCGGTACTGTAGCTAAAGATGATCGCCGCTCTCCCCTCCTTGCCTGGTCGAAGAAGAGATCTAAGACAAGAGAGAAGAATGGAGCTAGATAGAGAGCTCGCCTGGAAGCATGAAATGGACCTCGGATGGCACGGGCTTGCGGGGGAAATCAATCTCCAGCGGCAGCCAGCCAAGGTCTCCGTTTGGAAAGATGAGCGTCCGCGACGATGGAACCGCGGGATGGATGATCCCATCGGCGCCGCAGTGATCCTGGCGATTGATGAGCCACGGGCCAAGCATCCAATCCCTGTTGCCGCCCCTGGGGTCGTACCAATCGTTCTTGTGCAAGACGACCGAGCGATCGTCGGCATGGGACTGGAATGACCTGATGCTGCGATACACCTTGGCGGGGTCGCAGGCAGAGCTCCCATCGATGCGCCAGTTGACCCAGATGCCGTGGAAGTTCTGCCAGTGGAAATCGTCCATCCATTTCCACAGCTCTTCCGGATCGAGCTTGCGCGCCTCCGCCACCGCCATAGCCAGACGAGAAAATCTCGTCACTTCCCAGGACTCGAACCCGAGACCTCACCGCATTAGGGCAGAAGAGTTTAGGGTTTAGGGACTGCGCGATGGCGCCCAACGTAGCGAGCAGCGGCATTGCCATCGGCCTCAACAAGGGCCATGCCGTCACCAAGAGGACGCCGGCCAAGCGGCCGATCGACATGAAAGGGGTAAGATCTCGCGATTAATCAAGAAATTCTCGAAAATCTCTCGTCTTCCTCTTCGCAGAAAGGCCAGAAGAGGACGCTGTTCGTGAGGAAGCTCATCCGCGAGGTGGTGGGATTCGCTCCCTACGAGAAGAGGATCACGGAGCTGCTCAAGGTGGGCAAAGACAAGCGCGCGCTCAAGGTCGCCAAGCGGAAGCTCGGCACCCACCTGAGAGCCAAGAAGAAACGCGAGGAGATGTCCACCGTGTTGAGGAAGATGAGGTGAGCTATGCATTATTGTTCTTCCGCTCTCGCTTTGCTCACGCGCGTTCTTTGCTTTGCTTTGCTTTCCAGGTCTTCTGGGAAGTGAGTGAGACGAATGCTTGTTCTCGAAAAAAGTTTCTTTGAATCAAACACGAGTTACTATCTTTTCGATCGAAGAAGCTGAGAACATCCCGACTTTGGCTGTTCTTTTCTCAAAAAACTTTGGCTACCTGTTTGTTCTTTCTCAAAACTCTGGCACTGAGTTTTCTTTGTTTTGAAAACCAAATGCCTCGGAAGAACAGCTCGCTGGCAATGATTCCAAGCGCGAAAACAAAGAGCGCGAGCAAGCATTGAAGAACACCAGGCATACGTACAGCGCGTTGCCAGGGAACAAGACAACGCGAATGAATGAATTCGGATGGATCGATGAATCGAGGGAGAGCTTTGCAGCTTCACAAAAATTCCTGGGTGACCACCACCAGGCAGGCATTGCAGCGGTCACGACAGCAGGAGACAAAGCGCCTCAAAATTCTTGCACACCTGTAAGAAGAAGAAAAAAAAAAACAAACAAAGAATCTCTGTGAGAGATGTAACATCACCACTGTTGACAAAAGCATTTACCTGTGTAGTGTCCTAGTGGGGACGAAGATCAAAGGAATCACTACCGAGAAAACATCAGCACTTAAACAACCAAAAAAACGATTTTGGAATCAAGAGAGAGTCCTCACTCACAGGCTGTTTGGAAACCGACCTCGCTCGGATTGATTGATTGATTTGCTTTGTCTTTGTTACGTACACACCGATCGAAGCGATCTCTCTTTCCTCCCTTTAATGATCCTTGCTAACCTGGAACACAGCCAGCCAGCCAGCCAAGAAGATCAGCAAAACACCTGAGGAAGTGAGAGAAGTTTGCACGAGCAAGAAAGAAGAATACCCGAGCTTAAATGCTGCTGGTTGACCACGATGCGATTGGTCTGCCACTACTACTCCTTGTCGTTGCCTCCTCCGCCCGGCCCCCGGCCTCTCGCTTTATTCTCGCATTTACGCTCTGATCGCCCTCTCTGGCCTCGCACTCCCACAGCGACGGCATTGCCAGGGCGGAGGAGGAGGAGGAAGTGGTGGTCGGGTTTGTGGCGCTGTGCGGGACATAAACGCCCTCTTGCGTCGTGCCGTGTGATGGCCTGGCGTTGATGACGCCTGGCGTCGCTTGCATGGAGCTGTAAATCCCCCCCGGCGACGCCGGATCCATGAAACTTCCGTGAGACGACGGCGCCGACGATCCTCCTCTCCCCGAGACGTAAGAGAAGCCGCGGAACTCTTCCAGCCTCCTCAAGCTGTATGGCGGCTGGTAAGTCTGGAAGAATCCTCCACTGGCGCTGCCACCATCGATCGAGAAGCCCCCCGGAGCGCCGCCGTGGTGGCCGAACGAGAGAGCTGATCGCGTGGGCTGTGGCCGGACGAGCCCCGGCGATGCCCCGAAGTAATCGAACCGGGCTGGCCGGAAGGACGAGGCGAGCATGGGTGGCGGCGCTGGAATGCCGGTCAGGTGCTGGACCATGGATCGAAAGTTGGCGCTGTCCGCCTCGAGGACCGTGGTCGGGGGACGCCGGGACGCTCTGGATCGCTTCTTGCTCACCTTGGTGGACGTCGCGCCGGCCGAGGAGGGAGCGTTTAGAACCGAAGAGCCAGCGACTAGAATTCCAGTGCCCGAGTGATGCTCCGCCGCTGTCTCGTCACTGGATGATTTGGGAAAGCCGGGGGCGAAAGCTCCAGTAGTAGCGCTCGTGTGGAGGAAGCTGGTCGAGGCGTGATCGAAGGTGGACGATTGCGAGGCGACGTTGCTGCCGGCTTTCAAGAGAGAGGTCATGACGGGATCCCAGCTCTGATCGTCGGATGATTTGTGATCGTGGAGGTGGCCGCTGCTGCTACTCCATGACGGCAATTTGGAGACGACCAGCGATCCCGGGGATTGGAGCTCCATCTCTAGAGCCTCGCCCGCCTGGGATTTGAATGCCAGGTTCTCTTGGTACTCAGTCTCCCATCCCATGATAGAAGAGTGGGAGATCGGTATCTCCTGGCCCAGGCGCAAGGAAAGAGATTACCGCAAACCTGGTTGGACCGATCGATACGATAGAGCTCCCGGATGTGGAATGGCTCGATTTCGTGCGGTCAAGGATCAAAGATTCCGCCTAGCGCCCGCCATAGCTTCGCTTTTGTGGTGAGTCACGTACGCAATGTCGTGGGAGTACAGTCCTATCGCCACAAGGAAATGGAAATGCCACGAAACGCTGACCTGCGGGGCAAATCCGATGCTGACGCGGAGGCGCCCGTGCGCCGATCGATCGATCGAGGAAGAAGAGCTCAAGAAGAAGAAGAAGAAGAAGAAGATTTCCTATTCCCCAGGCCGGGAGGACGGAATTTCGATCCAAATTTCGAGGACGATTGAATGGGGATGCCTGTGCGCCAAGATCCTGTCTAGAGCATCACGGCGCAAGAACCTTTCTTTAGGGCCAAGAAATCTCGGAAACCGCGGATTACGAGCGCGATCGGCCGCGCTCACGCCAGATTCCGATGCCGGAATGAGAATGCGAGGGCGGCGGAGGCGAGGTGGAGGAGGACGAGGAGGAGGAAGCGGATGAGCGAGGAGAAGAAGACGAATGATCTTAAATCCATTGTCTTGGGCAGCAAAACCGATGATCCTAAAGGCGCCATTCGCACGCTTCTCCGGATCCAACAAAAAAAATTGCGAGGGAAAGGGCCAAAACTAGAAGCGCTCTCGCTCTCTCGATGTGGCTTAAACAACCATGAAACCTCCCCGTGTCCGGCGCTCGTCACTCGCTACACAGTCAACACACAACACTTAAAATAACGTTATTTTAAATTGGGGCCCCCGCAACCGTCGGATAGGGGACCACGCCCCACCGTCAGATGCCCGCAACTGGATGGATATTCTAGTATATGCTTCACTAAAATTAAAGTATGGTCGATTAGTATGATGAGTAGCAAAAGAGGATAGCAAAATATATGATGAAACAAGTTGTTCCAAAGTTCCAAGGATATGATGATCCTGGAATTTTTTTTTTCGTGTCACTCCCCCTTGAACCATCCATTCTGCCACATGATCCTGCCTGTTTGATCCGCCGCTGCGTTTGCTGCCGATGATCCTGACGAGCTCCGCCTTCCAAATCGCAAGAACTTCCGGATGCCTCTGAGCGGCTTTGACGTCGACGAGGAGTCGAGCTTTGCGCAAGATGGAGCCGAGTTCTTCTTCTCAAGCAGCGCGGTGGCGTGGCCCCGGGCATCTGGCGATGGCAGCCTGCACATATGAGGAAGCTTGTGAGACGCGGACTTGAGAGGCTTGATACCGATGGTGGCGGAGCTGGTGGTAGCGGTGGCGGAGTTGGAGGTGGTGGCGTTGCTTTGAGTGTTGTGCTCGTTGGCCAAGAGATCGAAGAGCGGCTGCCTGGTCGGAGAGCCCGGCTCGCTGGACGATCGGGCCATCGCAGCGTCTGAAGAGCTCTTCCTGGTCGCCACCACTGCGGGGAAGATCGTGCACTTCGGCTGCGTCTGTCCGGCCACCACGACTTTCCTCGGGAGAAACGAGCCAACCATGAGTGTCGGGGAGTCCGGATTGTAGATGGCCGTCGCCTCTTCTCCCTCGTCTTTGCTCGAGCCGAAGCTCTCGACTTTTGGGTCGCCAGGGCCGCATATCGCACTGGACACGCCTGACACCTCCGACTGCGTTCCCGTGGTGCTGCTGAAGTCCTCCAGCGGCGGATACACCTTGTAGGCGGCCGGGAACTGCTTCTGGTCGAGCTCGGCAAGCTCGAAGAGAGGAGTTGCCTTGGCTTTCTCGAGTGGCGGCGCTTTCTCCGGGATCTCGACGTCGATGACTTTCTTCACTTCCGAGAGCTCGTCCTCCCTCTCAAGCTCTTCAATCAGAACGCTCATGTCAATGGAGGCATGAGCTTTTGTGGCTGCTGCTGCGTTGCTCACGTCTGGAGCTGTTTCAAGCACAACTTCGACAGTATCAGAGTCGGGACTCCCGACTCTCATACTGGACTCGAGACGATGTTCATCTGTTTCTCCGTCCTTCAACTCCCGGTTATCAACCTCCTGCTTGACTTCCTCAGCACTAGCACCTTCCACAGTTGGTATGCATGCTTCGTCTTTCACCTGCATTTCTGCCTGGGCCACGTCCGGACAGGCTTCGACGTCTGTCACATCCACTCGTAAGAAAGTCACCTCCGGTTCTAGATCATCTGCCAAGTTCTCTTTCTGTAAAGACGTCGCGTTCCCAGCAACTGAACAGGAGCATGAACTCTCCGTGTCATCGCCCTCGAGCTTCATCTCAAAAATCTCGCTGCTGGCGGAGCAACTGTCGGCACTGGTTTTCTGCGACTTTGAGTCTTCCTCTGTTGGTTTACCTTTCACATAACTGCTTGCAGATGGTTGCCGAGTCTGAGGCACTTTCTTTTGATAAACTGCACCGTCGGACTTGGAGGCTTTGCCCGGTTCTCCTTTAAGCTGATTGTTGTCAACGATTTTCTTCGTCATAAACGGAGGCCCCTTACTCTTTCGCTCCAAGAACTTAAACTTCTGGGGACCCTCGAGATCACTTGTGTATAAGGGGTCGGCGTTCTCTTTGCCGTGTTCCAAATGCAAGCTCTCTGCAGACCTTCTTTGTATTTTGCTGCCTGAAGAGCTTGAGGCACGAACTGTTGTGCTTGATTTTTGAGAAGAAGGTGAAGACTTTCTGACAGAGATAGTCCTAGCGTTGTTTGCGTCTGCCTTTAACACCAGAGGAGCGGAATGAACGCTTGACACGGAACCCGTTCGCTTCGAAGGAATCCTAAGCTCGCAGCTCTTGGACTCCACGTCCTGTTATAGAAGCGTAAGAACTCTAGCAACTGAGATAAAGAGATACAATACCTTTTTACTTCTTGATGTCAAGGTGGCAGTTTTATCGGTTAATCTCATGCTGCGTGTAGACAGTTCTGCTCTCCGTGTTTCCAGCACGTCCTGCATAGCCTTGAGCTTCGCTTCCTTTTCCGCTTTCTTCAAAACAGGTTCATGCTTCAGTTTGGCTTCTCTTTTTTCTTGATACTGGTCGTAAAACCGTCCCTTCGATTCTTTCTTCTCAGCCTTCTGAGTGTTGTAACTTTCAAGGTCGCTAGTCTTCCAGACACAAAGTGACTGTCTTCTGTTGTTCTGCGCAACGGTGGCTCTCTGGTCGAGGAACATGTCGTCAAAAACGAATCCCGACGACTTGGATAATGGTCTCCACTCAATGTTATCCAATTCCTCCAACTCCGTTGCCTCAGCCACGACAGCTAAAGCGCTGGGTTTTCGAATCGCCTGCTTATCTTCCTTGCAGCTAGGATGCTGCAATAAAAGAGTTTGCTGAGGGACGACTTCCTCCGGACCGGCTTCAGGAACCGCTTCAAGGTCGGCTATGGTCGGTTCCACTATCACTGCGTGCTTGTCTGGCTTGCTTTCTGCTACATATTGTTCTTCGGAAATAGCTGGCTTTACGGGCTCCGTCACTTCGATGTCTTCTTTGGTGATCTTTTTCTTCAAAGCATCGTCCACCTTCTGCTGTTTGCTTTCGAACAGGCTAATGGCATCTTGAACGCTTATTGTTTTGTGCTCGACCTTGCTTCTAGAAGATTCTTGGAGCAGCACGTAAGGATTGTTCACCGATTCCCTGGCTCCAACGACTAAGTCCTCGTCTGCGAGAGGGCTAGGATCCTCAGTCTTCTGTCTTCTGATAACCCGTTTGCCGTCTGGAGACATCAAAGACCCGTTTTCTACTTTCCTCGCATGCAACTGCTGCAAGGTGCTTAAAACCTGTGGATCCCATGTCTTACGTGCTTTGCTTTTTCCTGATCCACTGCTCGTTTCCTCTGTGCTGTCGCTGGTTTCTGACTTGTTCGACATCAGCTGTATGCTGGCATCCGACGAACCCGAAGAGATAGAATCGAATAAAGATTCTTCTGGATTCAACCCTGAATCCTGCCTCTTCTTGCATAGTGTCATATATTTCAAACACGCCTCCCTGCAAGTACATCTTCGGTTAGTACATGACAAATTCAACAAAATATTGTACCAAAGACGTGGTGCACCAAAACAGTTTGCAAATACCATCAGGTCCGAAATGCACGAGACGTTGAATCCCGCGGCAGTAGCATGGGAGAATGCTTTTTTCTGTTCGTGCAAAAGCATCATCCTACGCATTTCCATCGCTTTGAGCAAATCCTTCCTGCAAAACTTGCAAATGATCAATACATCTTTCTCTTGATACACGAAACGCACTTGGAACCATCTAATAGAGCAATGCCTGCATAGTCAAACGAAGGTCGCTTCGGGTAAACCTACGAAAAAAGTTAGTGACGAAGATCCACAACTGCGCACTTGAGTGATACGCTTACGTACCTTGGTCTGGCTTCCGTGTTGCTCTACATCAGACTTGTACAAAGAAAGATTTCCTGCACAGACGAGACATTTGAGACTTCAGAAGCCCTTGCAAGGTGTGAAAAAAGTACCTGTTCTTGGAGTAACAGGAGCACTCTAGAATCGAAGCACGGGATCAGTAATTCTGAAAAAGAACTCAAGCGACGCCTTACCCATGAAGAATCAGAAATAAGGATCGAGGTTGCGTCATCGAGCTTTGCGAGCTCCGCTTCGAGTACGCTAACACTCTCCAAAACATCCGGAGTGCTGACAAATCTCACAAATCTAGCTCCAAAAGGAATAAAAAAATTTAAGCCCACAGATAATTTAAAATGAAGTTGTAATAGCTTACCGTTCTACAGTTCTCTTAGTGAACCAAGGGGATCCATCCCCAACGAAAGGCGGGGCTTGCAATATGATGAAGCTCCCCCCTTTCGCGATCTGCTCCTTAGCAGCCCTGAGATGCGCTACAAACGGCTTGACCGATCCAGAGGCCAGCTTCTCGTTCTTATCTCCAGCGCATATCCAAAGCTCACATCTGCGAAAGAAATCCCAGTAGCAAAGCGGCATTCCTCGCGACAAACCTCACCTGGCCTCGTTGAGCTGGAAAACGCAGTAGTCCAACGGCGTTTCCCCCTTCATCCCTGCCGGAATCACTCGATCCTACCCTGATCTAGCTGCACGGCGCCGCAAGCACTCAACACCTGAGCAGCAATCTTGTTTTCCTTGCCTGGATCGCCAATGCTGCTACAGATTTCGCTACCGGTAGCGAAGAACGCGGCGCCAGCGCCAGAGAAAGAAACGCGAGAGCGCAGTCTTCCGCGGCATGGCGATCCTGGCGCTAGCGCGCCCAAAATCTCTCCTGTACTTTAAGCCCTAGAAAATGATCGAAGCCTTTGTTCTGTTCTTCCGGAGTAGCCTATAACAGTATAAATATTTCGAAAGACAAAAAAGATTTTGGAGCCACCATATTTTTCACTGCCCGCCACTGTCGTGCCGCCACGTTCACAAGATTTTGGAGGGAAATTTTCAAACTGGTACGGAGTTCGAAACCAGCCACCCCCACATTGTTTATAGCGCGCTGGTAGCACAGTATCCATGTTACGATGTGACATTGGTAAACGTTTAAATTCAAAGAAAACGAGGTGTGTGGTGTTCGATGGCGATTTCTTTCTCTTTCTTTCCCTCTTGGATTTAGGTCTTCTTGATTGCGCTGCCATCGCCACTAGCGCCGCGTGACAGGCGCATGGATCTCTAGCCGTATGAATGCGATGCTTGTTCTAGAAGAGGTCCTCCTGGCTCAAGTGGGGTACTCGTGTCAGATCGATCGATCATCGCTAAGCTTCGAGATTTAGGGCAACAAGGATGGAGTGCTATGTTGTGGTACACAATGTCGCAAAGCGGCACAACATCGGGACGCTTGCTCGCAGCGCCACGGCCTTCGGCGTTTCGGAGATGATCCTCGTCGGGAAGAAGGATTTCAACAGCTTTGGCAGCCATGGCTCCGCGCACCATGTCCGCTTCCGGCACTTCCATTCGCTCCTCGAGGCCAGGGATTATCTCAAGGTTTGGTCGATGATTTTTTCTTTCCTTCCTTGACGTGTGGCTTCCAAAGGGAATAGGTTGTGATATCTGTGGAGTGGAGATAACCGAGGGCGCTGTGGCTGTGCACAAGCATCCATTTCAACGTAGCACTGCGTTTTTGCTTGGTAACGAGGTGAGAGAGCTCCCCGTTGGCGATCAACGTCGATCAACTTTAGGTGTTTCGTCCCAGGGAACTGGTTTATCGCCCAAGGAAATGGAGATTTGCGACTTCTTCACCTACATACCTCAAGTTGGCTCCGGCACTGCGTCGCTAAACGTTACAGTCGCTGCCTCGATCGTCCTGCACCACTTCTCTGGCAAGTGTGCTTTAAGTTCGATGACAAAACTTTGTTTTCTCGCTTCCCTTTCTTTCAGTATGGGCTGGTTTTCCCGAACGTGAGAGAGACGGCCAGAAGTTCATCGTTGCCGACCGTCCTGCCCGTCGCCAAGGCCTGATATGCTCAAACCCGGAAGAAGTCACTCAAGCGCGGCAGCAAAAGAAACTAAGCGGCTCCACCGACTGGCTAGACTCGGAAGAACAAGCTATGGCTCCCGACGAACAAAGAATCGCAGGTTCTTTGCTTGGAATTTTTTACGACTAACACGTAAATCCCCGGTAGAGTTCTTTGTTCCACAGAAACTCGACTTTTCCAGGACTTCCAAGTAGGGTTCTTGGCATCAGTGTGTGATGAGGTGAAGTTCTCTCCGGCACTGCTTCCCAGCGAATTATGCCTGGACCAGGCCCTCACCTCATGTACACACTTGCCATGGGTACAGGAATGATGCATCTCTCGCGAGGAGCTTTCACCTCGCACCACTGTCTCGTCTACACGCTCAATGCGTTCCTCGGACCGGACTTGGGCTCCTTTTGCGAGTGGCTTGCACAGACGAGCAGCTTTGGTCGGGCTCTCGGCTCCAAAGCCATGGACTACGTCCACGACCCAGTGTACTATGTACTAATCTTGGGAGCTCCTCTCTGTTCCATGTACAGCAAGCTTTCAAGAATTCTACTCCAGGCCGGATTTCTTCCAACACTACCCGGGGTAAAGCTTTTTTGTTTTTTTTTTTTTTCTCCTTTCTTACTTATCTTTGCTATTTGTTGTGTTTGCAGGTCCACTTGAAGCCTAAAGAGTGCTTGTACCTCATCGCGGCCGGGAGTCTCTCACAGTTTTTTCTTGACAACTTGTTCGAGGTAAATGCCACAAGATCTAAGAACGCGAGTTCGAGTTTTGTGAGAATCCGTGGCAGGAAAATGGTCACACGAAAATGCTTGTGTGGATTCTAAGCACCGGGTGGTGGCACGGCGCTGCTCCGCTCGATTTCATGTCGGTTTTGATCGTGGGACTACTCTGCAGTGTACTCCTTGCAAGTTTCATCTACATCAACAGGTAAGTTCTTTCGAGAACTCCTTCGATCAAACTTAGTTTTCTCTTTCTTTGTTCTTTAGATCGATCAAGACAAATCATTCGCAGCCTCTTCGAGCGCTGGCTTCCATCGCCATAGTCGCAGCTCTCTACACCCTCTGGTGTGCGATCAGAGTATACGTGATGGTTCCCCGATTGCCTGCCGTGGGAGAAGAAGCCGATTTGGGAATTTTGGTGTTCTTGGCGATTTTTTTCTTCGCCCCTCATGCGCTGTGCGTGGCGTCCATGCACAGCATTGACACTTCCAGCGAAATCCATATGGTGTAGAGTTTTTTTAACTTTGTGTCGGGCCTGAGAATTAGGGTTTATGGGTAAGGGCAAAGCGAGGCGGAGGCGGCAGCACAACTATGAGGCGGCGCACAGGACAGGTCTGGAGCTTGCGCCTCCGCCAGTGATGAAGGATGTGGACGCGATTCCCAGTAAGCTTCGCGCGATCATGAAAATCATGGATCCTCGCGGGGGTAAGTCTTTGTCGATTTTCCTTGGGAAACTTTGCCTCTAAAAATGTGGTCTTCAAGGCAAGCAGCCAATATCAGCTGGCAAAGTTGAGAATGTAAGTAGTTTTCTTTCATGCCTAGCTAGAACTTACTCGTGTTTTTTGCTTGCTAGGCAACAGCAGTGAAGAAAGATGCGGTAGGGGCTCCTTCCACCGATCAAACTCCGGCTGATGCAAGTAAGCCCGGATCCAAAAAGAGGAGGCGAAACAACACCGGCTTGGACGAGTTTGCCGAGAAGCTGAAAGCCGAGAACGATGGAGGCAAGAGTCGGGAGCGACGCAAGAAGTAAGCTGTAGAAGCAAAGCTTCCAAATGCCACAATGCTGACCACACCATGGCACAGGTTTCTCAAGGAGAGGAAGGAAAAGAAGAAGCAAAAGCAGCTGGATGCCATAGACCACAGCCTCCAGCAACTGTACAAGCACGAACAAGTCACGTTTGGAGAGGTTGCTCAAGCTCCCCCAAAGCTACCTCGGCTGCGCAAGAAGGTATGTGTCCTGGAAACCGTGCAAGCCATTTCCAACTTAGTACGTGGCTCTTTTCGGTTCTGTCCAGGATGAAGATGCCGCTGGGCCATCGCTGGTCTCGCAGGAGCGCCGGAGGCTCCAAGCGGTGGAGGCGTATAGAATGAAGAGGGACTGGCAGTCGAGGCCTGGCTCACGACTTGACTCGAATCTGAGCTAAGTTTTTTTCCTCTTTTCCTTCCTTTTCTAGAGAATCCCAGGAACTTCGAGCCAGCGCTCTCTCTGTCAACACAAGCGAGCTAGGCAGGCAAAAAATGCCAAGCCAAGCAGAAGGGAAAAAGAGAAGGAAAAAAAAAGTGAGGCTCCACTTACGCGTGGTCGAGCTGATGTCCTTCACGCTGTCCTCTACGTACGATGGGGGTGGAATCTTTTGCGGAAATTTTCGAAAGCGGACACTTATTGTCCTGGTGCTGAGAGGATGGACGATGATTTGGATGGCTTACGTAAGGTCGGCAAGCATTCGCATGACAATAGCGAAAGGGAAAGCAAAGCATGCTAGAAACTACCCGAGTTTGTTTAGAAATGGATGTGTCAAAAGCAATGCTAGATATGCTCCAATTTCCAGCATTTTCCAGTATTTTCCAGCTATCCATCTTGTTCGTGAACTTCAAAAAAAGCTTTGTCTATGCGGTGGTATGTTTCAATTCTGGCATTTAAAACCCAATTCGGTAGTTGCAATAGCACGCATGTCCCAGCGCTCGAATGAAAAGAGGCCAAACTCTCTCTTGTCTTTAAATCTCTCCAAATTATCATATCTAAATTGTAGACACTCTTTTCTACAACATGCACACAAAACAAAAGGACTGGAACAGTACAACCACATGGCTATGACCATTCTTCTTCTTCTTCTTCTTCTTCTCTTTTTGTCTATGATCTTCTGTTCTCTAGATGACTGAGGAGAAGAAGAAAAGAAAAGGGTAGATTGGATCCACCAAAGTCTTTGTAGTCTTTGGTCCTGGGCTCTCCAACACTTAATTAAGAGCAGTGTTCTTTGGGCTTGAGAGATGTGTGTGCTTAATGATCCATCTTGGACTAAACGGGATAGAAAATGTTTAGTCTTCCTCTGGGGGCGAGAGCACGGGGAAGTGAATTGAATTTACTAATCCCCAAGGTTGAGAAGCTTCTCCCCTTCTGTTTGCCAACCAAACCACCTGGGTTTTGGATTTTCTCAGTATTTAAGCTGGAGATTTGCAAACTGCAAAAAAAAAAAAACATACAACCAAAAACACATTAAAGGACAAAAAAAATTAAGAAGAAAAAGGTTTTTGCATTGAATGTCTCTGCAGAAGGCATGGCTGGCTTGGGTCTGTAATGTGTAAGGTAAGGTAAGGCTGCTGGTTGCTGGCTGCTGCTTCTCATACTACATACATGGATGGATATTGATAGTCCCTCTGCTGGCCACTCCTCTTACAGGTGCAAGAGTGTTTTTGGTGATCAAGTGTTACTTCTCACAAACACTCCCTTGGTCCCAAGGGAGGATTTGTGTGCTCCCTTTTCCTTGTACTCAATCTTGCAGTTCTTTCAATATGCCTGCACCTCTGTTTTCTCTTTCCTTTTTTTCCTCTAAGAATGTGATTGATCCTACAGTTGTATGCTTTTCTTTTCTCCTTTTGCTGCAGATGGGCTGCTGCGGATAGCTGAGCTAGCTGATGCAGTGCTGCAGAGACCGCAGCAGAGGAATTGAATCCTGTCTGCTTTGGGTTGCTTTCTCTCCTTGAGAATTGCAGCTCTTTTCCTCCCTCTTTTTCTCTCTCCCCCGCTTTAGTAGCTCTGTGATTTCTTCAGGGGCATTTGCTGCTAGAGAAGGAAAAGGAAAATAGGATAGGACTACCCTCTCAACTCTGGTGTAGATTCCTCAAATTCCAAACGTTTTTCCTATGGAGTTGTTCTTGCTGACGCGCGCTCTGTGAGAGCAGACAATTGCAGCTGAAAATTTCCCCGCGAGCGGCATTTTTGATCCCCAAAACTCCTCCCACTCGAGCTTTGATCTCTCTCTCTCTTTCTCATTCGCTTTCTCCTCCCGGCGAGAGAAACTTTATGGATGTGAGACTAGCCGTGTGGGGCGTTTTTGGCGGCCTGGGCTTCGCCTTCTTCCTCATGCTCATCGAGCTCCTGCGCAGATACGGAGGGCGGGACGGCGCGGGATCGTCCAGCGGTGCACCAATCCTCGCGGATTCCTCATCCACCGCAGCAGCGGCGGCAGCGGCGGAGCTCTCAGTGGCCAATCTCCTCCGCCAGGTCCTCCGCGACTTCTCCTACCAGCAGCTCCACCAGGCCACCAACGGCTTCGCGCAGGGCAATCTCCTCCGCGAGGGGCTCTTTGCGGGCACCCTGGGCGGGGACGGCAAGGAAGCGGTGGTGATCAAGAGCGTGGAGAGCCGCGAGATGTTTGACGCGGAGGTGGCGATGCTGGCGGGGCTGGGCCACAGCAGCAGCGCCAACAGGTTCGTCCAGATCATCGGCATTTGCAGCAGCAGCAGCGCCGGAGGAGGGGGAGGAGGAGGAGGCGATTGCGCGGATGGGCATGCGCAGCGAATGCTGCTGGTGCTGCGCCAGATGCCCAACGGAGATCTGGCGTCGGCGCTGCGCCGGGGCGACGAATTCAAATCCTCCGACGGCGAGACGAGCGAGTCCTCGGACTCGTCCAGCGCCGGATCCGCCAAGCCGCTGGACTGGATCACGCGGTTCAAGATCGCGATTGGCGTCGCCGAGGCCCTCGCCTTCCTCCACCACGACTGCTCCCCGGCAGTAATTCACAGGTCAGTTCATCCCAGGATTAGGGTTTATCAAGGTTTAGCGTACCACCTTTTTCGCGGTTTTAGGGCTAGGCCTGCCACCTTTTGCCCCTTACCCATGGATGTCTTTCCTTGCAGGGATTTGAAATCCAGCAGCGTTTTCCTGGACGAAGGGTACGAGGTCCGGCTGGGGAGCTTCGGCAAAGCCTGCCGGCAGCAGTACGGAAGCGATGTGTTCCCTGTGTACGACATATACTGCTACGGGAAGGTTTTGCTCGACCTGGTGTCGGGGCTGGACATCAGCAGCTGCTGCGACGGATTCGGCGAGGCGTGGCTGCACAGGGCGCTGCCGCTGATGGAATTCGGGAAGCGCGATGCCTTCCTGAGGCTGGTGGATCCGACACTGGTGCTGGACGAGGATCACGTCAAGGAGCTCATGCTGTTGGCGGTGATCGCCAAGTCGTGCCTGGATCCCGAGCACGCCCAGCACCAGACCATGTCTAATGTGCTCCATATGCTGCAGAACCCAGCCTTCTTTCTCGCTCTGGCGGGGCAAGGTTGATTGATGCGGTCTGGTCCACAGAATCATGGAATGAAGGTGGAGTTTCAATCCGTAAAGAGGGATTGAGATTGGATCCCCTGAAAAGTTTTGCATGTTAGAGAGATGTAAATATGAAGACATGTAAAATGCGAATCAAAACTAAAAGGTACATGTACTCACACTTTTTATCCAATCATTGACCATGCTTAGTGATTTCCCAAACCATTTTCTAGAAAATGACCGTCGTAAGAGTTTAAGAAATCGACAAAGAATCGCATAAAGCTAATATAATTAGAGCAGAGTGAGCAAAACTTTTTCCAGTATACTGGATGCAACTTAAACTTTCTACAAAGCAGATTTCTCTGCATGCAAAGTCTATTAACTTGTTTCTTGCTCATCATTTGTCAATCCTTCTTCCAAATTGTAGCCCTCGAGCTATCATTCCCAGATGTTGAGCTTTCCTGACCGGCATGACAACAGGCCAACTTCCAGGACGCACTTTAGTGTCCCTGACCCTGTAATGTAAGAAATCGGGGATACAAGCCTAGGTTCAGACACAGTCTGAGATAGTTGATGGAAGGGGACGATTCCATCAGGACTCAGCACCTGTCATGGCTTCCACGACGTTCTTCCAAGATCGTCCAGATGGTACCCAAAGTGAAGCCCGGACAGCGTGTGAGCAACAGAGTTTAGGGCCGTCTCCATGCACTGCTGCTTCTCCTCCTCCCAGATTTTGCAGACTTCACCAGGCTCTGAGCCTACGCCACGTCCAGAAAGGCTCCAGCAGCAGAATGCGCCCCCCGTAATGTGCGTAAACGTCATCCCAACACCTCCGCTCCAAGCCCCTCCCGGTTGGCGAACGAGTCTCTTATGGACTGCCACGAACTCTTTGGGCTCCTCTTCGTTCAAGTAACCAACAGTTGCCGTGACGACGATCTTATGACCACGGATCGGTTCCAGGCCACACAGGAAGAAGTTCTACGATGAAGCCAAAACCACGTTGGTCGCATTCTGCTGCTTGGAAATCAGTAGGGCTTCCAGATTGGCAGCATCCTCTGCGCTTTTTGTCCAGCTAGCCAGCATATTAGCTTCGTCGATGAAGATCGTGGGAAATCCATTGAGGAAACCCGAGCCAGAACGGACATGTAGCCCTCGAAAGCATCCATGAGGTCCATGTTGACCATGGAATCCCCCTGCTTCCGCACAAACTCGAGCGTCTCCTCGAGCGTCTCCTCGAGCGTCTTCAGCGAGATCTTCTCCTCGGAAACTTCGAGACCCCACTTCCCCCAGAGATTTTGCAAATCTGTGAGCTAAGTTAGTCCCAAAATGTGAGAAATTCATGTTGCTCCCCAGGAACACCCACTTTGCTGCTCCCGATGATCGATGACATTTAGCTCTGACAATCGATTGAAGAGCTTTGCACCATAGCCATCCTATTCGCACCAGCCAAGAAATTCATTTCATAGGCATTAGGCGACGATGGTGGTGTGTGTGGTAAGATGGGCGGCCTCATTACCGCTTTGGGTCGCACACTGTCTTGGACGAGACCCTTTGGCAATATAGCCGACAGGTTTTGTAGGGAGCATGGACTAGGAGACCGCCTCCTTTTTCCTGAACGACGTTCTAGTGGACTCCGCCAATGTAAGTGAAAGTTTTCGTGTATCTTGTCTAGTCTACTTGTGAAAACTTAACAGCCTATCGAGTTCTTCGACGCGTTGAAAGGCCTGGAGGAGTTTGTGGGCACTGATGGCCGCCAACAGATACCGGACGACAACTTCTTTGTCCATTTCAAAGGTTCGAAAGCCAAACGCTTTTACGAGTGGCACTACGTTCCAGGGGTTCCTATAAAGAGGAAATCTACAGCATTGCAAACGTTCTCCTATCTTTCCAAGGATGGATTACGTGCGCTGCACTGATACTGGGCCTATGGACAACGATGAGCTACCCATAGATTCATACACTGGCTACTCTCAAAATATCATAGTTGTCTGCTAGCTCACCACTCCATGAGACGACGTCTATAGCAGCACTCTGTACGGTTTTAAGTTCTGCCTTCATGTGTTCTGGTTTTGGTGCGACATTGGGATTCCATTTCTCAATCACATGATGGAAGTGCGACTGTTTCTTCTTCTTTTGATCACCCCTGCATTCCTTCTGTTCTTTTGATTGCGCCAGCAAATAACTCACCATGGATTGCTTGATCTCCTCTTGAAGAAACACGTCGAGTAGAACGAACTTGCTGGGCATGTGTTTGGAAAGGTAGTCTATCCAGTGTGACTCCAGTACCTAGATTTTATCTTTTCCCACAGCAAGACTTGCAAAATCGGAAAAGAAACAAAAGCTCCAAGGACCATGTTTCTTCCACTCAATAAATCTCTTGCCAAGGATGCTCGAGTTGACAATCCTGGGCTCCTATAGGATTCACTTGCTGGACCGCATTTAGAGAATAATCTTAAAACTTCCAGCAAACATGGCCTAGATATGAGACTCCCTGGTAGAATCGTCGGGGAAAGGTCTCACAATTAACCAGGCAATGTTGGGTCCTAGAATTATTTGCCTCCACTTTGATCCTCTGCAGTTTGCTGGCCGGAATTTGCACCTCAAAAAGCCTTTAAAAGAGTGCTTGTCGAAATTCCAGGTGGCTTTCAAACTTCACCGGTATGTTTTCTCGATTTGTTTTCAGAGGTTTCGGTCCTGTATTCAGGGAGCCTTCAAACGAGCAATCGAAGAAGATCCACTTTTTAAACACCTCGTCGATGTAAAGATCAGCTGTAGAAACTCTGAATGCAACACAGACGACAATCACGACATACGAGTAGTGATTGTCGAGTTCGGAGGAAGCTCGTGAAGGCATCTTGAAAACAAGATGGATTGCGCGTAACATCTCTCTAGAAATCGCAGCGCTTGGATTCATGCATTTCAAGATACGGCATCAGCTTTTGATTTGTTGAGTCAAAGCTTTCGTTTCTCTCCGATTCAATAGCTTTGATCTCTGCAGGTGTAAAGGGGTTCATAGAATTCTTTCACTCGTGAAGGTTTCTCTGGTAATTTATATGGCAAGGCCTCTTTTTTCTTAGAAGTTTTCTTTGTGTGCGCAAGACCCGGACGAAAATATTGGTAGAGGTGCGAATGATGCAGATTGTCTTGTTTTCAATTTTCCTAGTTTTCTTAAGATGTATGCTAGAAGTAGAAGTTAACTCGACATTTAAAGCTGCTTTTAGAGCCGCTATCTCTTACAATCCTCATCGCAGGAACATGGTTTGATCCAAGGATCTTACAAAACATGTTAGCTGGTTCTTGTGGAATGTTAGCAGGGCATATCTAGAAGAAAAGAGAGAGATCCATGTCCTCAATATCCACGACAGTGTAATGTATATCGCCGGCTGAGATCCAGAAGCTTAGGCACGCAACAGCAGGACGGAAGAGCCATCCAGCAGGCTGTCCGATCAGCAAAACGAAGCATCTTAACGAGGAATCCTGCACTAATTGAGAACTTCCCTTTTTGCCCTGCCTATATAAAATAGTGGTACTTAGCTCAACTTTAGGGAGTTAATGTTTAATTAATTAGGGAAAACATATTCTATGGATATTCCTGGCGAGTGAAAGTTTAGGGCTTTGAGGAAGGCTCCTGGCGGTGTGCATCCCAGCGGCTCGGCGTGCCCCCATCCCAGGCTGGTCACGAGGTCTCCAAGATCTGTGAGATCTGCGAGAGACAGCAGTGGCGATCGCTGACGCCTGTTGAAGCCTTCTCACAGATGCCACTGCTTGTAGGGGTAAGTTTCTGCAGCTGCCAAGAGTGCTCGCGGGGCTTTGGGATACTCAAGAAAGCACGAGCCACTGGTGTACGTGAGGAGCTGCTACGGCAAAATCCTCGACTTGATCTGGGCACACAGTGAGACGTTAGAGATAGCTTTCGTGGTTGTGCTGGGCACGCCTGGGATTAGCAAGTCCAGCTTTGTCTTTGTTGTGTTGTGGGAGCTCCTTCAGAAGCATTGTTGGAACCTCATCCTCCTCAAGTTCAAGGAATCCAACAGGTATTACGCCTTTGACAAGGATAGCAAAGTTTCATCCACTGTCAGCTCCGCTGTCACCGTAAATTGGGTGGAGGCCGAAGAGGAAGGCAAGGTGTGGTACCTAGCGGACTGGAAGATTGGTAAGTACTACTGGAGCCTACCTTGCAAGGTTGTTATAGCCACCTCACTTGGTTGGCTGAATCACCACCACTTCTTCAAAGGAGACGATGTGATCAGGCTTTTTATCCCAATGTGGTCTCATGAAGAAATCCACATGTTGAACGATCAGGTGTTTAAGCATCCGAAGGCTAAGGTGGACAAAAGGTTTGACGAGTGAGGATGTGTCCTGAGGCATGTTCTACCCAAGATTGGTATACATCAGAAGTAAGAGCTTGAGAAAGCAATTGACAGTGTTGCTAATGCCATGCAGGATAATGGGAGACTTTGTGTGGCCAACATTGTTAGTCTTGGTCAGAGCTAGATCTCGTATACTATATAACAATCGAGGGCGATGATACTTACACCATTGCCACCAAGAAGTTAGTCACACCGTATATCACAGACAAGCTCGCTACGAGGCTAAACATGGACGTTTTGGACAGAGTTCTCAATTACGATTTAGCGACAGCAGATTCAGAAAATGGTGTGTACACTGAGTTTTTTGACAGGCCATTCTTTGAATCTGTTATCGTTAAATCATAGTTGAGAACTCTGTCTAAAATGTCCATGTTTAGCCTCACAATAAATTTGTTTGTGATATATGGTGCGGCCAGCTTCTTGGTGACAATGGCATCAATATTATCGCTCTTGACTATTATGTGGTACAAGATATCTAAAGCATAACCACCCTGATAAAGACTAACA